CAGGTCCACACACTGCTTCCCCGCAGCGAGGCTCCCCCCGCCCTCCTGTTGACAGTTCACGAGCGTCGAGCTCCTCACCCCCCCCCCCCCCCCCCGTTGATAATTCACGATCGTCGGCACGCCGATAACATTTTTTTAACCAAAGTTACCAACCTATGTTGCAAAGTTTAGATCTTTGCTAAATTCCTTGTTTAATTCAACTGCACATTAATTATTTTGCCCCAATACATTGTTTAAAAGATAATTAATTAAACATATTTTATTACAACTGATGCTGCCAAATGTAAACTATTCTGCCAGACAGCCTGGTTAAAGAGAAGCAACTCAGTGTGCCATGGTGGCAACATGAGATTAACAGATTTACATTTAGGCATACATCTCACAACAACTGAGGCCACATTGAACACCTCAAATCAAATCAAACTTTATTTATATAGGACTTCTCATAAACAAAGGTAACTCAAAGTGCTTCACAAACCAAACACAATTTACAAAAAATGAAAACACTAATACTATCTCCCCCTTCCCAGGTATAACCAGATTACCACAGAGTTTAGTGATTTTAAAAGAACACTTAATACCAATGCATGACTGAATAAAACAGGAATAAAATAATACAAAATTATTAAATTCAATTAAAGGACAAATGAAATGACTTAACACCCATGCGACAAACACGTTTCAATATTATACACTAAGCTCATTGTGTAAGGTAAGCAACACCAGACCACATTAAAATAAGGTAAACATGCAAATGAAATTCAGTATCGACTAAAAATAAATCTGGACTTCAAAAGTCATGTGTTAAGTTAATGTGATCCCTTACTCAAGCAGAGAGGCAAGTGCAATCTGAGGTTTAGTGTTAAGCCGTAAGTCCTATATATGAGTGTGACACTTAAAACATTAGTGCATGTGTTCACTGCTCATGGACCACTGTAGCAGGTCAAAAGCTTCAGCTGGTAAGCAACTGTCTTCCCCTCATACAGTACACACACAACATACACACACACACACACTCCCCCTGGGGACAGAGAGTCCTGGATTGTGTGCTAAATATAGCAAGGTTCTTGCAGATTGATGTGATGATGTTAGAAAGAAATCTGTTCCTGCATGGTATCTCTTACACACTCGCATACTGTGTCAGAACCATTAAAAGCCTCTGATAATGATCTCAGTAGTTAGTTCGTTAAAAGCTAAAGATAGCTGCAAAACAAATGTTGTAATATGCTATTGTTTTACTAAATGCAATTTCTGAGTTTGAAATATTGTAGTTTGTGGAAGAGAAAAAAAAGCGACAAAAAAACAAACTAGTAAGGCATTATAAGGCATTAATAATAACCTTTTTATGTGCAAAACTATTGCAGTGCCCTTGGGCCCATTAGTTGTATTTGAGCTGCTGGCTAATAGTAAGCTACACTGTGTTGTCTTTTATCTGTGCTCTCTATAAAGGCCGATCAGGAAAGCCGATCAGATGATGTAAAATACATGACACTTTTCTCTGTGCGCGGCAAAACAACCTCGCCAAAATGGCTTCACCAGTCTGGTAGTATTTTAAGGTGTCCGAAAAAGACAATAAAATAGCGGTATGCAACGTGTGTGTGAAGCACAAATCCTGCTGCTCCGCCCGCTGTGACGGACCGGTGAGCGGAGCAGAACACACACTAAGAGTTAGACCTAACACACTTATTTTATCTACCTCTGGAACAAGCTAAACTAGTTATAAATATATTTATTCTTCACTGTCGGGTAACTCATGGACTGGATCAGTGAGCTGCATGAGATACTGACAGGCTGTCAGGAGAGGGGGAGAGGAAAAGAGAGCGCTTCCGCTCATTTCTCCCGTGTTATTATCCAAAGTTAATGTAAACTTGAATCATTTGAATGTAATAATTATGTTGGTTGTTCATGTATTGAAAAATTCATCTGAACTTTTCGATCCATTACGATTATAAACTGAAGCAATATAAAAATGAGCCTCATTAACTGAGTTTTGGACATCACTTTAAATGGAAGATCCCCATAGCCCCCACCCACCCGATCGGATCGGCAATCGGTATCGACCGATACTGATTCCGGCGATCGGCCCCAAAATACCCGATCGGAGCATCCCTACTAACAGTAAATTACACTGTGTTGTTGTCTTTGAGCTGTAGGGTAACGGTAAGCTACACTGTGTTGTCTTTGAGCTGTAGGGTAACGGTAAGCTACACTGTGTTGTCTTTGAGCTGTAGGGTAACGGTAAGCTACACTGTGTTGTCTTTGAGCTGTAGGGTAACGGTAAGCTACACTGTGTTGTCTTTGAGCTGTAGGGTAACGGTAAGCTACACTGTGCTGTCTTTGAGCTGTAGGGTAACGGTAAGCTACACTGTGCTGTCTTTGAGCTGTAGGGTAACGGTAAGCTACACTGTGCTGTCTTTGAGCTGTAGGGTAACGGTAAGCTACACTGTGCTGTCTTTGAGCTGTAGGGTAACGGTAAACTAGACTGTGCTGTCTTTGAGCTGTAGGGTAACGGTAAGCTACACTGTGCTGTCTTTGAGCTGTAGGGTAACGGTAAACTAGACTGTGCTGTCTTTGAGCTGTAGGGTAACGGTAAGCTACACTGTGTTGTCTTTGAGCTGTAGGCTAACACTAAACTACACTGTGCTGTCTTTGAGCTGTAGGGTAACGGTAAGCTACACTGTGTTGTCTTTGAGCTGTAGGCTAACACTAAACTAAACTATGTTGTCTTCGAGCAGTAGGCTAATGGTAAGCTACAACGTGCTGTCTTTGAACTGTGGGTCAAAGGTAAGCTAAGGTGTCTGCAGGCTAACGGTAAACTAAGGTGTGTTGTCTTTTAGCTGCATGCTAAAAGTAAACTACATTGTGTTCTTTTAGCTGCAGGCCAACAGCAAACTACACACAGTTGTTTTTAAGCTCCATGCTAATGGCAAACTACACTTTGTTTTCGTTGAGCTGCAGGTAAAAAGAAGGCTACATTGTGTTGTCTTTGAGCTGCAGACTAACACTTAATTACACCAGTTGTCTTTAAGCTTCATGCTAACGGTAAACTACACTTTTGTTTTTAGGCTACAGGCTAACGGTAAACTAAGTTTTGTTGTCTTTGAACCGCCCGCTAACAGTAAACAGTCAATTCTGATCCATGCAAGTAGGCAACGGCAGTGAGAAAAATATAATAATTTGAAAGCTTACTCTTAATCATTGTCAATTTTATAATGAAGATCAAAACAGCCCTACTAAAACGTGTTGACTACAGACTGAGACAAAGGGGATGCACTGGAGCCAAAGTAGTGCAGTCTTGCATGAGTCATGACAGAACTTTGTGACTATTTTGAATTTCTGTATCACACTCATTAAGTCTCATTTGTTCTTTTTGTGTGCACACACACACACACACACACACACGCACACGCACACACACACAGAAACACAGACACACAGACACACAGACACACACAGTTACAGCCTGGCAAGAAGGCGAGGCTATTGGTGCCAGCATCTTGTTTTCATGAAAGCCAGACTCTGGGTAAATGAGGCTATGAGAGGGCTCTGTATATGGGCTGTTGATGGGGCCTGGCACTGCCATGAGGCACTGGGCAACTGCCAGCTACAATGATCCCTAGTGTAGCAGGAAGGAAGGGAGAGGCTGGAATTGCAATTAGATAAAGGCAGAGCTACATCGAACTTCTCCCTACACACTGATATAGTTCTTGAATAGCAGAGACCAGGGTTAGTTGGCACACGTAAGATCCCAAAACCAGGTCTGGGTTAATAGGTAAATGATTTCACGTTTTGTTCCACGACATTAAGTACATCAGTAAACACCCTTTTTGTTAAAGTCTAATTGTTAAAAATTGGCAATTGCTAGCAAGCGATATAATTAGTATAATTAACGTCATCACGCCAAACATTAGCCACCTTTAGCTTGGACATGTTGTAGTGAAGTCATGCAACTATGATTTTATTTGTTTATAACTTAAAGGTGGGGTAGGTCATTTTGGAGAAACCAGCTTGAGTGCGCTAGAATTTGAAAATACACAGCCGGAAAAAATCTGCCACTTCCTTACAGAGCCCCTCCTCCAACACACACGAACGCGCACATGACCAATGAGGGCACGAGATAAGTTTGTGCACAGATGGAAGGCTGACAGGCAGGTAGGCCATCCAGTTATTTTAGCCGGGCCGGCTAAAATGATTGGTCGTGCTTTTTACAGTACTACGGCTTACACAGATGACATTTTTTTATGGATTTTTTGTCAAAGCACTTAAGATATTCATTGCTATCGGGATGTTAAGAGCATTCCATGGAATATAACAAAAAGTGTATCTCGAGCCGGTTTCTCAAACTTACCTACCCCACTTTTAACATTAGCTATTTGCTTTTACACGCTGTAACTATTACAAATGTGTGTTAATATCCTGCTAATTAAACATGCAGGTAATATAAACGTGTTTCTGCTACAGATCTTATTTTCTGCAATATTCCAAAATCCAGTCGAAAAATCCCATTGCCCTTTGTTGGGGGAGCCCTTGCAATGCTAACTTCCTGGTCGACCTACGACAATACGTCATCACTGCACCACTCTATGCAGGGCACTGCTGGGGCAGAGGTTGTGTTTCCTGTCTCCTCATTATTTGTGGGCCCCCACACTTCTTATTTCAAAGACTATCATGATGTTGCTCTCACTTGGGCAAACTAAAAAGGACTAAAGTCGTTTTTTGAACCTTCTCTTTCCAAATCTAATGAGGGTCTCTATTGTTCCTTTTCATCACGTTTTGACATACAATACATATAATTTTTATTTGGAAGCAGCATCTTGTAGTTTTTGGTGGTCCTACAATTAAAGTCCCTTGATTGAGCTACTGCTAAATGAAAATCATCAGAGTGCTTGGTCCCAGTCGAGAAACAATTATGTATTTCAATGTATAATTGAATAAAAGAATAATATAGACTTTGGGTTGCTAGCCCCTTCTAACACACTGCCTGTCTTCTCTCTCTGTAGGTGCTGATGACTGTGATGTAGCTATGTGTGTTTCCTGGCGGATTTTGACTCTAATCTCTACCTGGTGACAGGACCGTGATTGTTCATTTCTGTCACCACCTGCACACCCTTTAATACGGTTAGCCATGCCAGATTTATCTGAATAACAAGTAGCATTGGGGGGTTTGGGCGGAACTTGAGTGATTACACCTTCCCAACAAAAGACTGCCATGTTTCTGTTAGAATGAGAAACTGAGCGAGGAAAAAGTGAAAAGCAAGTGAGACTAAAGGGGCCAAAGTGCTTGTGTTGGTGACGGAAAAGAAGAGCCATCCTAGCAGTAGGTTGGCATCAATTAAAGCAGCAAGGCCCTGAGGATGACTAGCCTGTTCAAGCGCAGCAGCAGCAATGGAGGCTCCGGGGGCAGCGGGAGTGGCGGAGGTGGGAGCGGCAGCGGCCAGGGGCAGCTCAACAACAGCCGGTCCAACCGGCAGGTCCGTCGCCTGGAGTTCAACCAGGCCATGGAGGACTTCAAGATCATGTTCCCCTCTATGGACTATGAGGTGATCGAGTGCGTGCTGCGCTCCAACAACGGAGCCGTGGACGCCACCATCGACCAGCTGCTCCAGATGAGCATTGACGGACAGGGCTCAGATGACAGCTCAGACTCTGATGACAGCATCCCCCCAGAGGTCAGTGGAAAAGGTCAAAGGGTACCGACAAGCCTAGCCTGATGGGCTGTTAATATTGACATTATAAACCAAACCCTCCACTTTTATTTATAGGGATGTCGAGAAACAGTACTTTGTTCCTTAATTCTGAAAATGTGATAGTGCTTGCTTTACTATAGTATGGAAGATACCACAGATACTGTCAGGGCTTGAGACTAATGGCATCCAGTTGACAATAGAAAAATGGGTCTGGGACACGATAAACTCACTTCCAACGCACCCTATTTTTTCTCTGATAATGCTACATTGTGAACTACAAATCAGCGTTAAAAAGTCGGGAGAACAGCTACTTACGTTAGCAGTTAGTTGTTAGCTTTTAGCAGCAGGTGAACGAAGATCCCGTAGAATTGACACTGTATTCATGTTCTCACAAAAGTAGAGGATGATGTTATCATGTTGTGTTCAACTATAATCTTAAAGAACATTTTTTTTGTTGAGAATCTTCTATAAACTCGTTTTTAAAAACGGCTCAGTACGTTAGCTGTTAGCTTATTGCTATTAGCATCAGGTGAACAGGGGTTTCCTAGAGTTGCACTACATTCATGTTTCAAATGACTAATCGGCGAAAGTATATAAAAAACAAAAACGTTATCATGATGTGTTCAAACATAACCTTGGAAAATGTAGTTTTTGTTGAGAATCTTCTATGAACCAGCTCTTAGGAAGTTACACAAGGATTTATGTCCTTTCTCACTTCCTTATAACAACCTAGTATTGTGTCACATTAAAGAACAGGCACAGTAGTATGAGCAAAGTTCATCTTTTCATTAAAGGTCCCATGTCCTACTTTTCTGGTTATTACCCGTCCCCTTGTGTGTTATGAAGGTTTTTATGCATGTAAACGGTCTGCAGAGTCACAAACCCTCAAAGTACACCCTGTAGCGAGTAAAACTCTAACACAGAAAAGACCTGTCTATGCTGCCCCAGAACGCCTCGTTGGAGATTTCTCTTTTTCCATTGTTTTCTTCCTGGGTACAGTGACGTGCCCATACCCAAATGGACCCATTGGTCCAAATGGACCAATCCGTGGAGCCGTTATGTTACACGGACTTCCTCACACACACACACACTCACTCTTTTCTCAGCTGCAGCGCCGCCGATTTCTCCTCCCTGAGACGGCGGGACGCGGCGAGGCTGTGAGTCTGTGTGTGAGCACACACACAAACTCCCAGCCAGGCTGCGGGTGTGTGTGTGTGTTCGGGCTGGTTTCGGGCTGGGTTTCGCTGTGTCTCGCTGTCTCGCAGACGGCCACTGGGCTCACAGGGAGGGGGGGGGCAGGAGCTCCAACAAGCCGTTTAGGACAGAGAGTGAATACACATACTATACAGAGATGCTGTATGAGAAACCAATGTAAGTTTGGAAAATTGCACAATATACATCTATTCTAGTATACCTCAACAATGGAATTATGATCAGTAGAAATGGCCATGACATGGGACCTTTAATGTTTCTGAATTTAAACAATAGTCAAATGTGCAGCAGTGGAAATGCAGCACCACTATAACTTACAAGCTTTGTACTAAAATAAATAAAAGATTAGAGGGAGGTCTACATTTTGCATGTTATATTTCACATGATCTAAACATTATACAACAAACTCTAATTAGGATCAAAGGGGAGCTTTTTAAAATTGCAAGTGCATAAGGGCACGGCAGGTTTAAAACATTTAATAAAGAAAGGTTGTGTTGCACTGTCTGTCTGTTTATAGATTCTTGAGCGAACCCTGGAGCCTGACAGTTCAGATGAGGAACCTCCTCCAGTCTACTCTCCACCAACATATGATATGCACATTTATGACAGGAAATACCCCGAAGCTCCACCAACACCCCCGCCGAGGTAAGGAAGTGCGACTGAACTGTTATATAAAAGAAGCTGAAGCCTTTAAGATCCACTTTCAAAGCTTTTTTCAACAAATGAAGTGGACCTCTGATTGTATTGAATAGATAGGCGGTTTCTAGTTGGAAAAACTATTTGCTTCTGTTTTAAAGCCAGTACCAAAATTCTAGACAATATTTCTTCACTTTATAGAACTTATCCGTATTTGAATCCTCAATTTGATAGATTTTGATAACTTAGCCAGATACTTTACTATATTTACTACCTTATTAATTGATTGGATTGTGTCTGCTATTAATCAAGGCAGTTCAGTACATTTCTCCATCACCATTTAGATTAAACGGGTAGGTGTTAATCCTGCTAGACTCTTTGTTTGTAGAAGATCTTGGTAGCCAGCGCTTTTTTTTTTTATCCCCTCCAGGAGACCAACCTGCCAGACATTACTACTGCTTCCCTCCACGTCATTTAGCTTAGCCTTTAGCCTCTGGTTGTCTCCTCTAGCAAACTGCAATAGGCAAACAACCCTTTTCACCATGACTTAGAAAAAATAACACAATGTAGCACAGCAGTTCTATGCTCTTGAATTGACTGGTCTTGGACTTCTGCTCTTTGGGACAACGTGTGCATTTTTTCATTGCACCAAATGGGAACCATGGCTGTATAACATTTTCTGCAAATCCTTGAAGTAAATATTGCAATTAGGATTCATCATCTGGGGATCTTGGACATCTTTTTCAAATGCGATGGCAATGAATCCAATAGTTGTTCAGATATTTCAATTAAAATGTGAAAACACCAAGATGAAAATGTTTCCTTTTTTAGCCTCTCACCTCTCATGTAAATATGTAATAGTCTGAGATAGCTGCATGTAGTTAATTGGCTGAGTTATTCATCTGTCCTGTTACTCCATGGGCTCTTACAGATTTGAAGCAGAGCCACCTCCGGGTCACCAGCAGGTCAGAAGCTACCGGAACTGGAACCCTCCTTTGCTCGGAAATCTCCCCGATGACTTTCTGCGGATCCTACCGCAACAGTTGGACAGTATCAAGGTAAAAAATGTCGGCTCGATGTTGAATCGATGCATTTGGTTGTTTATTTATATGTCTTAATGTAGTTACATTTTAATTTGTAATAATTCAGAAAATACACATTTTCCTTATAAAATGCAGTATAAAAGCCAGTGTTCTTTTCAAACCAAGTGCTTTGTTAACAGAAATGCAAATGTCAGTTACATGAGTCTAGAAGTCTTCAAATCATGTCCAAAACGATCCCTGTAAAGTACATATAGCAGCAGATCCGCAATACTAACTAATATCCGGTCCTGCTTTACCTCAACAGAGCTCTCAGAGCAGTCTATGCCAGCCTTCATCATCCTCAGCTTCTTCCCTAAGCCAATGGACAGCCCAGTCTGCTTCTCGGCCCGGAGATGCAGGGACCCCTGGAGGTTCAGGTTTGACGACAGGAGCCTCGGAGCAAGACAAGAAACTCAAGCAGTATCTGGAGGACGAGCGCATCGCCTTGTTCCTGCAGAACGAGGAGTTTATGAAAGAGCTGCAGCGCAACCGCGAGTTCCTCATGGCCTTAGAGAAAGGTATGACTGAGTACACAGGTCACTCCATGCAACACAACTATGCTCATGAGGTCAGTGGCAACAGCTGTTTTTAATGGTAAAGTATTGTACACACGATAGTAGTCACTGGAAATGTAAAGACATTTAGGGTTGAGTAAGACATTTAACATTAATTATTGAGATACTGACAAGTCCTTGAGGTTGTTATCCTAAAATGTTCCCTGTGTAGATTTCACCTCTAGTATTTGCTATGGACCTGTTGTTCTATCAGATAATCCACGTTCAAAGGACACTTGGCTGACACGGAACACAGTCAGTTTATGTTTTGGTTCAAGTCAACTTGTCCGGGGAGATTTCAATGTACTGGACAAATGGTGAAGAATTCCAGATAAATATTATCTGTCTTTAATATTGAGTTTAAAAACATGCTTTACAAAGAATCTTATCATCATGGCATGTAGATTTATATATATTTTTTAAAAGGCTTAGGGGGAATTATTATTCCGACTCTATGACCGGAGAGATTTAATTTTTGTCGGACTTTATCAGAGTTTCCCCGCCAAAGTGTGGTAAATGGCGGCTCACAGAAACACTACACACTGTGAGGGTTGCACACTTTTCCACTGATCTATGGGTGGTGGTAACGCACCTAATAATGCTGCTATGTACCAGATGAGGAATGAATAAGAAGACTGAAAGCTACTAAACATGAATTGACCAATACCGGATTTAAAATACAAAAAGCTGCTTGGAAACGATTTGACAGGAAGGACAGACGATGGGTTTTGGCGAGTTACACTGACATAAAGTATACCAGTTTATAAACATTGGGATGGTACACAAGAAAACTCCACAGGGCACCTTTTAAAAGCTTTTTTTGCCGTTATTGCCATCATTTGCCTTGATGCAAGTCCTATGCTTTTTGTCAAAGTAATACAATTTAAATGTATGACTACAATTTCCAATGTACAGAGTTGAGACTCTCATGGAATTTCTCATTTCACACTAAAGCATTTATTTTTTAGTTAAACTGATTCTGGATACAAATACAATATTCTTGCTATTCCATTTAAGCACAGCCATATCTGGAACTAGCTTTTAATTGCTGGCGTTTATTTAATTATTGTGCATTTCTTAGATTTTCTTTACTTGGACAAAATGAATTCCTTATGTCTCCATTTGTCACGTTCTTACATTACTCAGCTTATGATCAAGGTGCTTCCATTGTTGTAGTAGTTATATTTAGAGGCCCACACTATTTTGAAAGGATGAACTTCTCTTACTTCAGTTCTTAAAATAAATTAGAAAATGTATGCAAATGTTCTTTAATAGAGTTTGAAAACTAAATGGAGAAAGTAAATGTCTAATGTTCAGATCAGAACTTAAAAGTTCACACAATCAGTCAGAGTCTTTCAGAAGTTAAACAGCATAAACATGATGACCAACAACATTTTTGGACAGTAAATAATACTACTTCCCACTTTAGAGATTGTTTAATACAGTGAAATGTTTGTGTCAGCGATGGAAATGCTAACGTTTTAGCTAAATGCTTGCCTTGGCTGTTTTGGTGCCCTCATCAGACTGAAATGGAGGTTCAGGACTCAGGTGGTTCTACCATCTTGATCCCTCACATCAGTGGTCATAACATCTGCTCTCTGTTTTTAGATCGCTTGAAGTATGAATCAAAGAAATCAAAGTCTCATCATTCATCTAGTATGGAGAGTTGCACAGGTAGATATCAAGCTTCCTCTGCCAAGCTCTTTGCACACTGAACTCTACTGAACAGGGAATGGGAATTGGTGCATTCTGGGGCGTCACTGCCATCTTTGGAGGATAGCGACTATAGCAACGTCGGCAGCCATCAATGTCTATCAGCTTTTCACCAGTCATTTTCAGTTTTTTTGTATCCAAAATGAAAAATGTATGCGCAGAATATGAAATCTTAAGAGAGAGAAGTTCTTGGTTTAAGAATCTTGACAACTTGCCACCAATCGCTGATACAGATGTCAGCACCTCTCTGGTCTTTGGAGTTAGCACCTACATCTTCCGGTAATTTAAAAAATGTTAAATCTCGTGTCTAATTTACAAACAGGTGGGTACAGTAAGGCAAGGCAAGGCAAGTTTATGTATACAGCACCTTTCAACACAAGGCAATTCAAGGTGCTTTTACAGACATTCAGACAAAGGCATTTAAAAACAGTCATTAAAAAGAAAAGATAATAAAAGAACATTAAAAGAAAAAATACATTAATAAAAAGTACATGAATAAAAAGTTACAGTGCAGTTTAAGATATAAATAGTTCACACAGAAGTTCCATTTTACTGATGCCTTTCTTTAAGGTCTCTCCGAACATGAGCTGTGTACGCTTGTATGGCACATACGTCCCGAGCAGCATACACAGAGAAAACCAGCCAGGACAAAGTCCCCAGACACTGATTCCCTGGGGTTACTAGCCCCAAATGTTCATTTACCAAAAACGAAACACAACCGCTCAGTTTCAATTAAAAGCAGCGGCAAAAAGAAAAGTCTTCAGCCTGGATTTAAAAGTAGTAAGAGTTTCAGCGGACCGGCAGATTTCTGGGAGTTTGTTCCAGATATTTGGAGCATAATAACTGAAAGCTGCTTCTCCATGTTTAGTTCTGACTCTGGGGACAGAAAGCTGACCAGTCCCTGAAGACCTGAGAGATCTGGATGGTTCATAATTTAGCAGGAGGTCAGACATGTATTTTGGGCCTAAACCATTCAAAGCTTTATAAACCAGCAGCAGTATTTAGAAATCTATTATTTGACACACAGGAAGCCAGTGTAAAGATTTCAGAACAGGAGTGATGTGATCCACTTAGTGAGGACATAGACAGTACCTATGGACCCAAGGACAGTACAATCACACAATGATACAATCATTCGGACACAAGTGAGATAGTTATTGCTAACTGAATGCTAACCATTAATCATTAATCTAATGATATATTTAATTATATTGCGACATTTCATGTTTTATATCGTATTCCCTGTGTAGTGGTTCGTGTTACTTTAGTTAGCTAATTTTTGAAAACTAAACCGTTGGCAGACAGCTGCCACCCAACAAATGTATCATCTGCTTCCCTGTTAGCTTCCCATGTTAGCTATGTCTTACTGATTAGGTTTCCATCTTGGAAAAGTATGGAATGTATTCATATGGGAATTTTATTTTAATTGTTATCTTGGGATTGTCTGTTACAGCCAACCACACAACAGTGCCTGTCGACCATGTTTTAAACGTTTATTTGATAGGGTTAAGGCTACTTCGCTCACCGTAATGGTTAGTCAACTGGTACCCTTCAAAGATGGCCGACTTGCCATTGATACCGTCACCTTCCCATTCCCTATACTAGTTTGGGTTTTGTCTCTGCATTCACTGTGAGAGTTGTTTGTTGTGTGAAGGTTTTGTACTACTATAAATACCTGCTACTACAGTTGAAGCGTGTGTGTCAGTACATCAGTGTGTGTGTGTCTGTGTTCAGGAGAACAGTACTCCGCAGCTTCAATGGACGCCGTCTCAGATGACGCCATGTTCAGAGACAAACTCAATCACATGGGCAAATGTAAGTCAATTACGTCACAACACTACTGATATTTCACTCAAATGAGCATTTCCTATTGTAGTGGCTGACCTAGGATATTTTTCTCCTCTAGCAACAAGAAAGAAGCTGTTTGAAATTGCCAGAACGTTCTCAGAAAAGACAAAGCGGAGAAAGTCCAAAAGGAAGATGCTCCTGAAGCACCACTCGTATCCTTTGCTTTACCTTGAGCATATACTAACCCTAACCCACCTGTTTTAAGGTTGTAGCCAAATCACATTTATTTACCACAGCTGTTAACCATTTAAAAAAAAGTTAAGGATCATCTTCCATTACTGATCTGTCTGTGAGACTGATTGTTTTCTTAACTAAGCTCCTTTCCAGATTGGGAACAGCCAACTCTACGGCAAATCTCCTGGATGATGTGGAGGCAAACCCCTGTGGTAAGGACTGCATGTCATCCAAACAATGTAACATGGAGCTTTTGTCACAAAGCAGTGTTTACCAAGGCCTTGTGTCCCCATAGTGTATTTTTCTCACCTTGTTTAAGAGAGCTTCACCCCCTTGCCTTAACTGTTTGTTTTACAATGTTTTTTCACCATTACAACCAACTAGAAGAGTTTTGTTCTCAAACTTTAAATTGAGCTTTACCTCTTAATCTGATGTCTCTGTTCCAGAGGAAGATGGCCAGCCCAGAAGAACAAACACTCAGGAACAGAATGAGCAGCGCCATGAGCCAGTAGTATGGTAAGTAATCCCAACTTCTATAGACTAATGCTGCTTCTCAATTTACAGTTGAGGCCTAAATTATTAGCCCCCCAGGAGTTATGGAACATTTTCCTAAAATTCTTCCCAATGTTTCCAGCATTGATAAAACTTGATATAATCAAACATTCACCTGTGCTATTTAGTAGCTTTTGGTACATTTTGGAAAATAAAATAAGTTTTTAGGCTTGCTTTATATCAAATATAGTGACAAATGGGTTGGTCAAAAATATTAGCCCCCATGTGAATATTTGCTTTCAAAACACACCTAATCAATCAATCAGCTTTCAAACCACACCTAATCAACCAATCAGCATAAAAGGACTCCAAGAAACAGGCACTTGAATACCTTATTGAGAGGGACTATACTACTACTCCTACTCACCATGCCAAAGACAAAGGAAATCAGTCTTTAGCTCAGAAAGAAGATAGTGGAGGCTCATGATAAGGGGGAAGGCTATACTGCTATTTCCAAATGCTTTACAGTGTCTAGAACTGCTGTACGTTGCATAATTGCGAAGTACAAGGAGACGAAAAAAAGTAACGAAAGCGCAAGATTTCAAGAACTCTGGAGAGGAAAATAGTCAGATATCAGCAAGCATCCCCGGACATCTGCCAAGATGATTGTTGCTGACCTGGCCTCTTCTGGAGTTGATGTTTCAAGGAACACAGTTGTGAGGGCTCTTCATCGTGGTGGGCTTCAGGGCCATCGTCCCAGAAGAACCCCTTTACTCAAAGAGTGGCACATCAGAGCCAGACTGAGGTTTGCCCGTGAACATTTGAAAGGTAAAGATGAGTTTTGTAAGTCTGTGCTTTGGTCTGATGAGACTAAACTGGAACTGTTTGGGCACATGGATGTTGCTTATGTTTGGCGAAGAAAGGGAGAGGCCTTCAACCCTAAGAACACATCATGCTGTGGGGCTGTTCTGCAGCCTCAGGCACAGGGAGCCTTGTTCGGGTGCAAGGCATCATGAAAAATTAAATTATGTTGACATTTTGAGGGATAATATGAAGAGATCTGCTCTTAGTCTTCGCTTAGGTCGTCGCTGGGTCTTCCAACAAGACAATGACCCAAAGCACACATCAAAATTGGTCCAACAGTTCCTAAAGGACACCAAAACCAAGGTGCTGGAGTGGCCCGCACAGAGCCCAGATCTTAATCCTATTGAGAATCTGTGGCGGGTGCTCAAAGTGAATGTCCATGCTCGGAAACCACGCAATTTGGACCAGCTGGAACAATTTGCAATGGAAGAATGGGCCAAAATCCCTCAAGAGACCTGTGCCAACCTAGTAAAGAACTACTCTAAGAGGTTGTTGTCAGTTGTAGCTCAGAAAGGGTACACTATTGACTATTAATGGCCTGGGGGCTAATATTTTTTGACCAACCCATTTTTCACTATATTTGATATAAAGCAAGCCTAAAAACTTATTTTATTTTCCAAAATATACCAAAAGCTACTAAATAGCACAGGTGAATGTTTGATTATATCAAGTTTTATCAATGCTGGAAACATTGGGAAGAATTTTAGGAAAATGTTCCATAAGTCCTGGGGGGCTAATAATTTAGGCCTCAACTGTACGTACTTCTGTATTTATATTTGCCGTTTTGGGCACATAAGTGCATCCCAATTCAAAGTATGACAACATGCACAGTGAGTACCTGGATGGCATTATCAATAACAGTGAAAAAGTGTGGAACGCTGGACACTTCTGCCACTCAACGACCGCCATCTTCGTATAACTATAATTCTCAAAGCAATATCACCAAAATAAAAGATATGCCATGGATTATGATGCATCTCATTTGTCATACCATTTTAAAAGATAATCTCAAATTGAAATGTTTACTGTTAAGTTTTCCTTCAAAAACTACGTATTTCCATATTACCATGTTACAAATCCTTGAGCTAAGTCCTTACATGGGCCACATGCACTGCAGGGGCCACATGTACTAAAGCTGAGTCCTTACATGGGCCACATGCACTGCAGGGGCCACATGTACTAAAGCTGAGTCCTTATATGGGCCACATGTACTGCAGGGGCCACGTTTACCGAAGATGCTCATTCATTGTTTGATTTTATGATGGAAACCCATATCATACAGACTCTCGTCTACATTTCAGATCCTCCTGTGCTGCACCATATCAGGATTACCATGGCGACGGCAGCATGACCCATGGGAGCCGGCCTTGCAGCTCTTCCTGTCTTCCCCTGCTCCCCCACCCTAATCTGATACCAGACAATGTAAGGCCCAGTGAGAAGGGGGACGACATTATAACACTTTGTTAACATATCATTTCAAACGTAAAGGTAAAAGCATTAGTCCTGACAGTATTCACCGGCTTCCTTTAACCCAGTGACGGAACACTTCTACCATATGAACCTTTCTTACTCACACACTGTGTATCTGACTGCGAACCACAGGCATTTCAGATGCTTTCTATACACTAAACCATGTAGAGCTTTTTTACCATGTTTTCTTAATCACATTGTAATATTCTGCTGTTTTTCCATGTCCAGGGTTACGTAAGTGACAGAATATTGCGGCCATTAAAGTTGTGGCTGCCCAGATGTCAACACATTGTATCAAACTGATCACATTTAAAGGATCGTTTTTCGGACAGCGACGGAGCAGCTTATTGGTTTGCTCTGTTTGCAAGGTGAAAACTATGTCATTCATACTGTAGCATAGAACACTACAACAACAACAACAGGATGACAGATAATGAGCAGAAAGACATGACAACCTCTCTACTATGTTTCAATAGAATAGAGTATAGCAGGGATGACCTCTAAACCCTCTTTACCAGACTATTGGTAAATACAAGCTTACGAGATTTTTGCGCTTTGTCCTACGACATATAATACGTCAGTAAATACCCAACTGGTAAACGTCTGAAGCTTTAATGTGTCTTAAAAGGAGAAGCTAAATAAGACTACTAAACGTCAACACTTCAAGGACGAGTTCGCCTTAGGCTAAGCGGTGTGGGCAAAAAGTTATGTTACGGTGAAGTAGTACGATTATAGCATTAAGTTAGCTACTTCTGCCGTTAGCATTATACTTCAACTTTTATAAAAATAGTCTCAATATGTGGAGATTATCATTCTAAACAAAATGTGTAAACTTCATAAATGTGTGTTTGCCACAGATCTAAGATTCCAAAATCCAATGGAAAAACCCCATTGCTTATTCTTTAGGTAGCCCTTGCGATGCTCACTTCAGGATTAGCTTAGAAAAACACTCCATCCCTTCACCACTGTATTACCTTATACAAATAGGTTATAACTCAGGTCAGTCTAAAGGCAAACTTGTTAATAGCTCAGAATGAACATACTTTAAGGAAGGGGCCCTGAAGGCATCACAATGTGAAGAGAGTAAGATTAAATAGTGTTGTGTGGTTGGAGGAGGGTCAATTTGTGTGAAGTACACTGAGGCCTTCAGGGTATGATATAAGCATATGGTGAATATACCATGGTAAAACACATGCTGCTTTCCCACACAGCCATAGCATTAGATTGATTAAGATGAAAAGGAGCATGATGTGGAATTTGTTCGGTTAGCAGCGTACAATTTTAACATTTTGGTGGCCTCCATTTGTAATTGGAGCAAAGCAGCGGTGGCCTAGAGAGGGATGGACAAATACAGTAAAATAGTCCCGCCTTTGGATGTGTTCTCATGGTGGAGAGCCAGTGAGGGCTCTCGGCTTCGTTGCTGTGCTAGTGCAGGTGGCAGGTTTAAAGAAACAGCACCCCCCTCCTCCAGGACATCATTACTGTCAACATTGGCGAGGTTAATTTATTCCAGGTATCAACATCTACCTCCTCCTACCCACAAACCTTTGCATTTTTAGGTCATGGGGGTTCTGTTTTTAGACCTTCTTCTGGGACATCATTGTACTTTACCTTGGGGAATGGCATTGTTCTCACCTGGCCTTTTGAAGCAAACTAAGAGTCTGAATCCACTGCTCTGCTCTCCATTCATTGCTCCGCTGTATTCTGCCAGGTTTCCTGAACTCTGGAAAAAAACCTAAGATGTTATGAAGATAAGAAATATCTTCCAGACTTTTTTGCCATATTCTTTAATGTCCCCCGAGTCTTTGAGCAAATCATGTATTTGTTGATCTCATCTTTGCGAGCTCAGAGGAACACGAGTGATAGAAATGTCTCTTGGAGGATAAAGCATCTGAAAGGTGATTTGGAGGATCACCCTGTGAACACTCATTCTGATACGATTTGGACAAGAGTAAAGACAGAACAAAAGAAAAACACAAAATGACTTGATATGTAACGGTAGATGTGAAACTAGCATGGGTAAAGGTGTAAGAGGTGTGATGTAGCCTGTGTGAACAGTCAGAGTTGGAGAACGAGTAAAATTCTCCCTTTGTGCATAAAATGTTTTGTTTCCACCTCAGAAAATCTCCACAAATTAACCTTTCTGGAAATGTTTTCACAGTTTTGTGTGTGTTATCTATCCCCTTTTGATTAAACTACTTACATGTGTTATTTGCTTATTTAGGGATGAGCGAAGTTTGATGTCTGAAAGTGATTTATAGTAAGTAATTGGACCATTCCAGTGTTAATGCATGTTTTAGACCATTTAATATAAGTCATGTACACACAACTTTACTTGTAAAGCTAATTTCTCACTATTTTTATAAAAAAAATATATCATGTGACTGGAGGGAGACAACTGTTGTGAGAAACCCACAGAGAGATCTCGCTAACTCTCAATGGGCATTTCAGTATTTTTCAACTCATTGTTTTGGAGCAGATTTTTCTCAGTGAAACGCCCTGATGAGAAACCTGCTGTTGAACTCTTAATGAAGGCTAATGTAGCTCTGTGTCCTGGAACGTGTTAATCACTATTGTGAGATGATATTTTGTCAATGTTGCGTTTACAGTACTGCTGCCACCAGGCTGAAACATGCAGAAACACGAGGAGTAGTCATGTATTATATACTGTGTATGTAGGGGGCAGCAGTGCTTCATCACAATAAACTGTGTCTCATTTCTCATTCACACTATTACCTAAAGTTCACTTTAAAAACTACATTTTCAACAAGTTGTTTAGCAACAATGTCAAGCACTGACCTTTCGAAGTGCAACAGAATAGCTTAGCTTAATTTAACAGAGCCGCGCAAGCTAGCAGCGGAGGAAACCGTAGAAACAAAACTAGCTAGCTGTTTTCACTGTGAGGCTCTGCGCCCAACATCACGGTGGGCAAATTCAGTTTAAGAAATGGTGGCCAGGGCCCAGTGGTTCAAAACTTTTAATCTCAATCAGATCCGATCAGATTTTGAAATCCCATTTTTTGTGATCCAGGATCAGACAACTCGGCCAGATTGTGTCCCAGTATTTTAAAGCAATTCAGGATAGGATCACCCTGATCCAGATTCAGACTTTTCAAGATGACTAGATCCTGAATATCAGTGCTTTAATCCTACCGATCTCCATCTAGTGGATATGAAAAATAATACAAGGAAGACAAGAGACCACATTGCAGAGACATCTATTGTCCGCAATTACTTTTGAAAGGTGATGACGGACTTTTTTTTTGTTGAAGATATGTTTTCTTTAATCTAAATTACATTTGTGATTGACAATCTTTGTTGTGATACTTTTATGAGCATAAACATTTGTCATCAACATTTGGTTGAAAACCAAATAGGCCACCACAAACGTGATCAAAAAATGAAAAATAAAATTGATTTGCCATGAAGGCTAACATTTTTAAATTATTTCAGTTAACAAACTTTGCCATCTTATTTATATTGAAACATATTTTTAAATAAATTGTACAGTACATTTTGCTCTGGTAATCCACTGAAAATCCACCCCTCTGGTGGGATCAAGATAATCCAGTTTTTTGGGATCAAACTGATCCCAATCCTGTGTTGTCGGTTTGAACTACCCGTTAAAGCTTGGATTTGATGTCCTGATCTGATCGGATATCAAAGTGATCCTAATCCTGTTTTTTGGTTTTGAACTACCCAAAATCCAAATCTGGTCCGATCAGATAGGGATTAAAAGTTTTGAACTACTGGGCCCTGGTGCTCTTAATGTTCAAAATATTTAAACTTTGTCCTCAATTGTTGCTGACTTTCCAACGCACAAACTCAGATAACCGCTGTATGTAGCGGTGCAAGCTAGCAGGGGAGGTAATGATAGAAACAAAATGTAGCTAGCTGTATTCACCGTTTTTTCGCTGCATAGCCTCGCAGTTAAAACGGATAGTTACGTTTTTTATTTCTATCGTTACCATCCCTGCTAGCTTGCTCAAAGGGCAAATCGTTTTTCATGTGAAGGCAGCTTAAAGATGGGGAGGGTAATTTTGGAGAAACCAGCTTGAGTGTGCTAGAATTTGAAAATACACAGGGTGTTTCTCAATCGCGAGTAAAGCTGCTGCAGAGCCACTATTTCAAGCATACTACGTCATCGAGTGCCGCCGAAGTACTGTTTCAATCTCCAGCATACTTGGAAATCTACCGAGCCCGGCGTACTACGTTTGGAGAAATATCGAGGCTGCACATGAGTAGACTCCGCGGTCTTAAAATCCCCACAATGCTTTGCGCACGGACCAATTTCCCCAAATCTGTGGCGGAAGATGTAACGCGGGGCCTCTCATATGACGCACACCTGCACACTTGCTAGCCTGTTCCACTCTTTGTTTTCCGAATGGCAGGAAGTATTCTTGACTCGCTTCTGAAGCAAGATGCTCGGCAGACATGTGCTACCAAGCAAGCGTACTCGCGATTTGAGAAACACCCACAGCCGGAAAAAATCTGCCACTTCCTTACAGAGCCCCTCCTCCAACACACACGAACGCGCACATGACCAATGAGGGCACGAGATAAGTTTGTGCCCCGATGGAAGGCTGACAGGCAGGTAGGCCATCCAGTTATTTTAGCCGGGCCGGCTAAAATGATTGGTCGTGCTTTTTACAGCGCCACGGCTTCCACAGATGACTTTTTTATGGATTTTTTGTCAAAGCACTTAAGATATTCATTGCTATCGGGATGTTAAGAGCATTCCATGGAATATAACAAAAAGTGTATCTCGAGCCGGTTTCTCAAACTTACCTACCCTACCTTTAACGAACTTTAAAAACCAACACATTGAAACGTTGAGAGACTGTACTAGTGTGTAATTTCAATCACAACAAATATAATGTAATTCTTTTAAACAAAGATAAAGAGAGCCGGTAAACGCAGCATTATGGATGGCTGGCTCTTGATTTTAGGTCCTGACCTCTCACCCAGCCACCGGAACAACTCCCATATCATCGGGCCAAAAAAGGAGCCTTCTCACAGCACACAGTGTGGCCTCTTTAAAGTAAAAATGTTTCAAGAAGTTATTAAGTGTAAATAACTACTTTAACTAGTCTCCATTCCATGAGGTGTCCTGTGAGTAGGCTCACCTACATGCCGCTGTCGTCCCTAATGTTTAATCCAGCTGAGCGTTTCAAAATGTCTGCTGTGAACCGGGGTCCACTGAAAAAAGATGAGTAGATGTATTGAAATGTCAAACAGCTTGAGTTGTCTGGAGCATTTGTGCGTCTGGTTTGTGTCGTGGTGTGTTAGTGGGTCGATTCTTCTTAAGGAAAACTTGTTGATGTCTTCTCCTCTCAGGGAAACCCACCCAGATTATTCTCCTCAATTTCCCTTTGATTACTTCCCCTTTTGTGGTCACAAATGTAAGACACTATTTTGCAGCTCTCGCAGTTTATTTAGTTTTTTCTGCAGAGCTGTTGAAACAAACGTAGGTCACATGATGCCAAACAATAATGGGAGTGTAGTTCCATTAAAGAGCACAGGCTTCGGGAAGTGTCGGAAAGCCTATGCTGCGTTCACACCGGACGCGATGCGAATTCGCTTCGCTCTAACGCATCGTTCCCACGGCGGCGTGCGTTGAAGCTTGCCGGTGAGCTTGTCTGAAACTCGACCAACAACCAATCACATGAATCTCCCGCCCCGGACACACAAGCACGCGGTTTGATTGGCTAGAGCTTGTACTGGCATATGATTTGATTGGCTGACGCTTCCGCCGAAGCTTCAAAAGTTGAACATTGCTTAACTTTTGAAGCGAGCAAAGCGAAGCAACGCTCCCACAATGCAGTTCGGCAAAGCGTGACGTCACCCCATTCAAAGTGAATGGGCAGAAGCGTTGAAGCTTTATAAAATGCTTGTTTTCTGAATGAAGATCGGATCGACCAGGCTAAGCTAACGTTGTATATGCTCCGTCCACAATCATAACAACGGCCTACAGACATAAATAAACCAGCGACTGTATTCGCCATGGCACAGACAGTCTGTGGTTTGTACTTGTTTAACTTTTGTCCAGTTTCTGAACAGATATGAGGAGCTGTGAGCTCTGTGTGCTAACAGCTAACGGCTGATGTTTTCTGGTTGAACTTCAGTGACGGCAGGCTGAGATCCTCACCGCTACCGCGAGATCGCGTCACGTGAATATAACACTCGAGTTGAACAAATTTAACTCAAGCGTTTGTCACGGCCCCCTTCAATCGCGCCGCGGAATTTGCGTCCACCGCTTCATGCTCGCCGTCGGAGCGAATTTGCGTCTGTCCGCGTCTCTGCATTGACTTTACATGTAATCGCGCCGCCCCCAAACATCGCATCGCGTCCGGTGTGAACGCAGCATTACATCTAAACAGCCAGAGCTAAATGTATTTTTGGTATTACCTTTAAAGATGGTCTGTCATTTATAATCACACAGTTAATTTATAATGCTCAAGTATAGTTCAATATCCCTTTTGTTTTAAATCTTGAAGAGGTGTGAGTTTTAAGAGATGCACTTCATACACTTCCTAAAGTTAAATGTAAAGCAATGTAAAGTATTAAAACAAAGCTTTCTAAAATGTTTTTTTTTTCCAATTTAAATCAATGTAAGGTTTCAATTTTCAATTAATCTAATATTTTATAATTTTTATATTGCACAGTTTTGTTGTAATTCCTTAAACACACAGACTACACGTAAATGGGTCTATCTTTGTTACTTTTAGTTATCAAAATGCCAAACAGAAGAAACAAACCACGAAAGGAACTCGACAACTGTATTTGTGAAGAAGCTGAAGATAGACATGTTTTTTTCCCCAATGTGTGTAAAGCTTGTTATTGATTTAATTTCTTCACAGGTTTTCTTTTACGCAAGGAAACATGTGAGCCCGGATATCCTTTTGTTGTACCCTGTCGGATTTGTTTGAGTTATATTGTAAATATATTACCATGATCATTAAAGGTTTTTCTATAAAGTAAAATGTGTTGTCCACTGTGATTTTGTTTGCCCAGAATTATACACACTTTTGGTACAAATATAAATGAATGATTATAACTATTCACACTATAGTCCAGCTCGAGTCTTTAAAATATCAAAATCTGTTTAAGGTCTAAATAACCAAATGTCTAGATGTTTTTAGTCTATTCTAAAATAAGGTAATACTTTTTTTCATTTTACAATCTGTATTGCCAACAATGCATTGCCCTTTGATGGTGAATGTATAAAAATGAAGTGTTGTGTTGTTGGCAACCTGAAGGCAGACAAAACAATCAAAACAGAATGGTGTTCTCTTTGACATGACCATCACATGAGTACTGTAATGCAAATACACTGATTCTGGAGATATGTTAAGCTAAAGGCAGCTGTAACAGTTTAGTACAATGTAAAGCGTCTTATCTTTTAAATGTGTTTAATAGCGAAGATGTTAAGTAAAATCACAAAAAAAACAATGGACATAAGGTAATAAAATTCCTAATTTGACTTTTAATTAAGCTAAGTATGAACATGAATCAACCCAGAGTAGTCGGCTGAGGTTACATACCCAAAATGTCTTCTTGCTGTTGTTGGTTTAAGAATGGAATGTGTATAGCTCGATCTTGAAATGTAATCGAGACCAGCCATTAAAAACCTAAACAAATACAGTATAGTATATCCAATAAGATGATTGGACTGAACTAGCTCGGGTTGAAAAACAAATGAAACATTTAAATTATTTTGTAAAACTGCATCTCTAAAATAACTGTTCACATTACAATAAAGAAGGTACTTCAGTGAAGTAGGCTAAATATGTTTTTGTATACAAAATGTATTCCCACAAAGATCAGCATTTTAACTTGATCTTAAATTAACACTGCAATATTGAAGGAGGTCAACTAATGTTCAACCTTAAATGTATGGATAATGGAAGGAAAATCTGTCTTAAAGTAAAAAGGTAAAACCCGGAACACATAGTTGAACATGAAACCTAATTAATAAAGAGGCTGTTATAATTAAGATTGTGTAAGTTATATACATTTATTTGAAGCTATTTTAGTTTTTATTAATGATTAAGTTTCAAGTATATTGTTTAAAGTGTAGCCGACTGTTTAATTTGCTGTTCTGTGTTGGAATATTTAATATGTTCAATTTAGTGCATATCTTTGGCACAACCAAATGTATGAGATCTGTAGGAAAAATGTTATTTGCTCATGTATTAACATTTCACATAGTATGGAATTATTTATTTCTACCAAAGACTGTATAAAACATAAATATAAATGGCTTTCACATAAAATATGTGAAATACCACAGGGTGGCGGTAATGGTAGTACAATGAAAGAATTCCAGGGGGAGGCGTTAACAGTTTTACCATGGAAACGGTGATGACGTAGGATGTTCTACGTCACTCCTCC